TACGTCAATCTATTGACAATATCCTTCGTTCGCGGTAGATTTTAATGTCGCTCTGGGGCAGACGGCGTTCCAGACTAGCACCCTTAACGGGACGCACGGACCCGGGGTTGCCAGCCTTGCTGTAGACGGGATCACCAATACCTACATGAACTACGGCACTGCCACCTGTACACACACACAGGAGGAGACTGGTCCTAGCTGGTGGGTGGATCTCGGCCGATCGTATATGATTGACAGGTACAGTTGCATGCAAAATTATTCAACCCCTCTTGTATTTTGGGGAATTTTGTCAAAATAAGGAAAATTACAACTGTAGAACATGCCTAACTCATGTAAGTGATTAACATATAGTTAATTACAATTTAATATCAGAGAAAAGTCAATATTATTTCATAGTTCATCTGAAATGGCAACTTTAATACAAAAAGCAAGTGGCAAAATTATTCAACCCCTATACAACTCATCAGCTAGGGTGATTATGGAGAATCACAACTAACATGCCACGTCCAAAAACACTAGTAATGCAATGAGGTAAGATGTGCATGTCCATAGTATTAGTATTATCGTGTAATTTTCCACCAAATGTGTAGTATCACACGCTTTGTGTCATTACTGCTCACATGCCTTTTGCTGGCAAAGTGGTGAAGGCAAGAGAGTTGTCCCAGAGGTTTAAATAGGAGATAGTAGCATTACACAATTAAGGTAATAGATATAAGAGGATATCCAAGCTCTAAATGTTCCCAGAGACACCATTTGGAGCATTATTCGCAAGTTCAAGGCATCTGGTACTGTGGCCACACAGGGAGGTCATGGACGAAAGAAGAATATTTCATCAGCTACAGCAAGATTCCTGAGAAAACAGGTGGACAAAACCTCCAGGCTTACTGCAAAGGACCTGAGACACAACTTGGCTGGAGGAAGAAGTGATGTTTCAGGCGGTACAGCATGCTGCACACTTCATGCTGAAGGGTTCAATACCAGAGCCCCAAGACGCACACCGCTGCTGAAGCCAAGCCACAAGAAAAGTTGCTTCCAGTATGCTGAACCCAGCCTGTCAAACCCACAGAACTTTTGGGACACTGTCCGGGCTGATGAAGCAAAACTTGAGTTCCTTGGTCCTGTGGATCAGAGGTTTGTTTTGCACAGGAGGATCCAGGCATACGCAGAGAAGAACACCCTGCCTACCGTGAAGCATGGCGGTGGGTCTGTGATGTTGTGGGGGTGTTTTGCTTCTAATGGTACTGGGGAAACTCCACCATGTTGATGGCATCATGGATTCAACAGAATATCAGGATATTCTGGCCGAGAAAGTCACCAAGTCCTTGAAGAAGTTGAAGCTGGGGCGTTATTGGACATTACAGCAAGTCAACGACCGCAAGCATACATCGAAATCCATGAAGGCTTGGTTGGAGAAGAAAGGCTAGAAGGTCCTGGAGTGGCCATCACAGTCTCCTGACTTAAACCCAATTGAGAATCTGTGGTGAGACCTGACGAAAGCTGTTGCAGCAGGAAGACCTAAGAACATTGTTGAGATGGAGATATTCGCCAACAAGGAATTGGCCGAAATCCCCAAATAGCACTGCCAGAATATCATGACAATCTATCGTTCCCGTCTGCAACAGGCCATTGCAGTTACAGGGGTGCTGCACGAATTTCTAGAGGAATCCTCGTAGGGGGTTGAATAATTTTGCCACCTGCTTTTTGTGTTAAAGTTGCCATTTCAGATGAACTATGGAATAATATTGACTTTTTCTCTGATATTAAATTGTAATAAACTATATGTTAATCACTTACATGAGTTAGGGATGTTCTACAGTTGTAATTTTCCTTATTTTGGCAAAATTCTCCAAAATACAAGAGGGGTTGAATAATTTTGCATGCGACTGTACATCAATGCAATTCAATGTGACTTGATCCACTATCAAGGCATTATTTATCTGATTTCTCTCATTACATGAATGTTTGTCATAATAAAATACTTACCATTACAAACAAACATTTATACTGGACTATGTCCTTTTCAATAGCGAGACACACATATTCATCTCTCAGAGATGTTAGCAACATCAATATACTGTACTTGTTTCTTTCACACCCTCCAGTCATAATCCCATAATTTAGATGACCTTGAGAGTTACTACACTAAGTGTAATAAGAAATCAGACTTCCTCAGTGCTATAAGGGATGGGGAAAAAGCCTATTGGCCATCAGATGTTTCTGCACCTTTCTGGAAGAGATCGTTGCCCAGAGCCTTCTCCTCTTCAGCCTTCTCTGGGTCAACATATGCCTTTGCTTCATGTTCCTTCAGCAGTTTTTCAGCCTAAAATACAGAAATGTACAGACTTTTAGCATATGATGATCCATCTCCTGTTCTTCCTCTTTAATCTGGCTCTAGGAGAGGAAGACTTCCTAAAACATAACTATGAACAAACTGTTAGGAGATGAAGGATTACCATTTATACAAGTTCTTATGAAATGTGTATAAAGGAACACTCATTGAAACAAAGATTACATGTAAGTAAATTGAATGAATACATGGTTTACATTGTTTGTTTTGTTCCGTTTATATCACTACAACATGTAAAGCTTACATGTATGCTAAGATAGAAAAGAAATCAAGAAAAATGAAAAATCTCCATACATGTAATTACAAATTTAGACAGGTGACCAGTATCAGGCTCTGCCTCACCTCCTGACATTTCTTCAGGGCCTCTGGTGTGCGATGCTCTGTTAGGGACTTGTTGTAGTAGGTGATTGCATCTTTGTACTTATCCTGCTTGAAGTGAGCTTGGCCGATACGGAAGAATGCCCTGATGTAGTTGAGAAACCAGCATTGATATTGACAAGAAACGCACACTGATGACATCCAACACACAAAATCATGGCATCCAACACTCAAAGTTATGACATCCCAACACACAAAATCCTACAGACAAAATGTTAGAATACATAGCAGCTTTATTACTGTCGTATCCAAAGTACACCATACAAGGAAAAAACACCCACTTTGCTATCAGCTTGAAGTCTGACCGGACTTCTCGGCCCCTCTCAATGGCTTTCTCACTCTCCTTGATACAGTCTTCTATCCGGTCCATCTCATAGTAAACCGCTGCAAATAACAACTAAGCTTGATTTCTACAACTGCTGCAAATAACAACTAAGCATGATTTCTACAAACACTCTACCGTTCAATTTTACTACATTTTGCTGCTTTTTAGTTTGTAGAAATCAACAGTTTTCTTCAATAACAACCTAGCAGTCACTTGTATATATTCCTGAGGTGTATAAAGAAAACAACTGACCAGCTTTGTTGGTGAGGAAGGTGATGTCATCTGCATCCAGTTCTATAGCCTTGTCATAGTGCTGAAGGGCCGTCTCAAAGTCCTTCTTCTTATAGGCCTCGTTACCCTTACTTTTCTCCTCCTTTGCCTAACCAGAAAGCACAGGTAACATGTCAAATGGTACAAGGCGTGTGAAGCTACTTTGACATTGGAACTCCACGTTTTTTTACATTTCCCTAAATCTGACCAGAATAAGGTATTGCAAAATCAATGTTATTGTTGAATGATTCAATTTTGTTGCCTTTGCTTTCAAATTCTGCCCACAAATCTAACATCTGAGCAAATGATACAGAGGACAAAGTAGTTGACAACTGTCATAATCTATGTTAGTATACTATTCATATTCAATAATTTGTTTTCAAGCCTAGTTTGTGTGGATGAATTTGTGTGGATGCCCCACCTCCTTCTGTGCATCTGTCAACTCTTCCTCCTCCTCCTCCATGGGTTCAGGCTCCTGCTGGGCAGGAGAAGACGGTCTCTGGTCCATATCTTCCTCCCTCGCCTGCTGAAGGTCCACTCCCAGAAGGACACTTAAGGTGGTCATGATGCGAGGGTCCTGAAGGTGACTGGTAAAAGGCAAGACAATCTTGATCCACTGTTTTGATCACACACAGCCAAAAGTGCTACTGAAAACATAACCTTCTTGGTGAAAGTAAAAATCCTTAATAGTCATGCTTGAATAAATGGGACACTAACTTCCCGAGAGCCTGTGGGTTCTGCTGCAGTTGCTTGAGTTTCTCCATGTAGTCTGGCTGTGCCAGGAAGCCCTTGGTCCTGGGGTCCCTCTGGATGCGCTCCATTACTCCTGGGACAGCAAAGGGGTTCCCACCTAGTGGCTGGCTGCCTGCAGGGCCTGTAGGACACAGCGGTTTCTCTTCAAACGACAGTGGCTTTTTTGTATCATCTATACATTGTAATGTATTGTACCAGGTATAACATAATATTCAAATTATAGTTCTTGACAAGTATTATTTGGGACTTCTTGTTCCATGTTTTTTCCTCCTAGATAAAAAGTAGAGAATGAGTAGAAAACAATACAAAACTATTAAATGTTTTGCATGAGTTTCCAACTTCCTTAAATTGATTTGATACAAGGAACCATTGTGTTGGGTGGTAGTATATAGACTAGGGTGCATACAAATTCATCATGCTTTCATTATAGTCCAGAGCTTGCTTTTCTTTTTCATCCTACTCCTATACCTTTTCCTACTCTGTTCCCTAGTAATGAAAAGAACCAACAACAACCTGTTAAGTGAGATTGTGCATCCCTGACTCCATCCTTCAATTGTTGGTTTTCTGGGTCCAGTTTAAGACCTTCCTCATATGCCATCTTGGCTTCCTCATATCGGCCCAGAAATGACAAGGCTGCACCCTTCCGAGAGTACCCCTGCAAGGTACAGTATAAGAGACATGAAGTACACGTGTGGGAAACATGTTCCTAATATAACACTAAACAATGGGTAGCAAATACACTAGTAATTCTTCTCATAATCATATAACAATATTAACATGCTTCATGTGAGGGCTGAATGCAAATGGCACATAACCCTTTCCAAATTCTGCAGACATACACTTGATTTTGTAATCACATCATGGAGCGAGTCACTAGGACACTGATTCACCAGCAAGGACTTACAATGCTATTTGATTCCCAGTTTCTCCTTACCTTTACCCAGTCAGGCTTCAGCTCGACTGTTTTGTTAGCGTCCACCAAGGCCAGCTCATAGTTAGAGGCCTTTGCCAGTGCGGCAGAGCGGTTACTATACAGGACATGGTTGGTGGGGTCTATCTTGATAGCCTCCCCATACAGTCTTATCGCCTCCTGTGTGTTCCCTGAAGTCAGAGCACGATTTCCTTGGTCCTTTAGCTCTGCTACCTGAGGAGAAAGGCAAACAACTATCACAATGTGATTGTGAAGAAAGGAGCAGACCTCATTGTGCCCTTTCATCAATTTATAAATACAATAAAACAACCCAATGAACTCATTCAGTAAACTGATAATGGCCTTCATGGAGCAGAGGACCCTCCAATTATAGGTTCTGGCAATGCTCCATGCCAACAGTATGTGTTTGTTCAAGATAACCATGTCCTGTACTAGAAAGTTCTAGTGTAGTAAATAATCATTTATTCCAGAGACACAACCTGAGCCAGGATAAACTGTCAATGAATTTCAATGTCAACAGTTATCACTCCTAGGAGCGTGCTTGTCCGCAAAATCATCATACAGTATTATCATTATGCAGATTTTCATGTTCTAGAAATTACTAACGTTATAAGTTGATGGGCCAGATTATCTTATTGCTGGTATACAACCCCGAATGCAGATGCATGTTGATGATTTTGAAAATTATAACTCTGCCTGATGACCTCAGAGAGAGCAACATGTTGTATACTAGTACTTGATCACAGTCTTCATACGAAAAGCATGTATCGTATCGTCGTCAGAAGTCTTGGATCATTCGCGACTGGAGTGTTTGCTTGAAGAGTAAACCATTCATGTCATTCGGTAGTATCACTACACACTAACATCACTAACGGCGAAAGTGAAACCAGGATTTAACATTGAACTTGCGAAAATTAAACAATCAAATCATCATTTCGTCTACCCACAATATCAAGCAGATCTCGTGTGGTTGATGATCTAATTAACTCTCAAAACATAGTTAAGAGTTTTTGCGTTAAGCTGAGGCTAGTAGCTTGACATGTGTCTATCTACAAAGCGATCGCCTGGCTCGTGGCTAGCATGGCGGCCCCCCTCCCCACTTCCCTGTCCAGAAGAACTAAAACGGAGTGAAATCTGAAGCACAAAACCGGCTCGGTTGAACTCTAACCGGCTCCCGGTCAGATCAACTGGGAAACAGATTGTATATCTATGATTTGTAGATAAAACTAATACCATACCCACCTTCTTTTGCAAATCTTCCGCCATAGTCGAAGGTTTAGTGTGGACTCAGTATGGACATGAGAATCTCGAAGTTTCCACGGAAATTAGCATATTATAATGTCTTTGTGATCTGAGAGTTACTATTGGCTAGCGCGTAATGACGCACGTGACCGCTTTCCTCTGGCCTGCCTCGTGGCCCAGAAACAATGTCAGTGTGTGACATGGACAACGTTACAAGGTGTGGTCCCAACATTTCGGTTTTTCTGCCCATAGCAGAGTCTAAACAGGCTTTACCAAACTCACTTGATCCTAATACGTAATAGGAAGCGAGAATAAAGCAGTGAACGGATCCTATTGAAGTCCTAGAGTTTATTGACATCAAGGACCATGAAAAGGAAGGTACTAAAAACTTATTTGACATGACAGAAAAAAATAATGCCGCGCCCTACAAGTCTGCGAAGGAGGCCAATGAAAACCCCCGTTACATGTAACGTAATAGGTATTCTAGGCGTTTCGGCATTGCGGGATCCCGAAAAGTGGAAAATCCCGCGGGTCGTTTTCCACTTTTCTCAGGACCTGTCAGTGGGGAATTTCATGATCCGTCACCAGTACATAGCTATGACTCACGTTGCCCTTTACAAAATATCACCCACACGCTCGCCACTATCTCCAAGCAGATGTATGACTCCAGCTTGAGTCATTTTACCTCACTTTGTAACGTTACGTCGGTAGTTAAAAAAGACGACGAAGTTACAGAACGTTGGAAAACATAACATAAATGACAAACTGAAGCCATACATCTGCTTGACATTAGTATACCCAATGACTTCTACTAGTATCAGAAGAGGAGAAAGTACAACTACAGTGCACGAGTGCCTCGATGTACGGGTCCGGCAAATATCTAAGCCTACCGAAGCAGAAACCCCCTGTGACATCATCCTTGTATGGCCTTGTACATGCATGTAACGTTGTGTTATTCCCCTCCATTTGGGTCGTATCATCATTCCCAAAGGATGGGCCTTTCGACAAGTTTTGGAACAGGCGTTGGACTTATGCCTACTCTAGGTGTGTGGAAAATTACCAATCCTGGCATTAATCGTGGATATGTGTTGGTGAGGGATTTGCTTTCTAGAGCAGAGAAATTCCTTTTATGTTCATCGATGTTTCCCAGAGGAGCACTTTCCTGGCTCCTCACGTAGGTTGTGAATCTGTGAAGTTTGATAAAAATTACTATCTTCAGTTTGAATGAACTTTTTCATGCACTATTGAACCATCTCAAAGTCGTCTGTCCTTGTATGCAATGCTATTTGTGTAGTTTTCACTGAACTTTCACTCTAACCACGGAGATATAAAAATACCTCCAAGCTCTAACTGAAAGAGATATGGACAATACACAGATAGGAATGAATAGACATTTGTACTTCGCTTTATTCATTTTCAAAAATGTAACAAATGGCAAAATAAGAAGTTAAATTCAAGAATTTCTTGTCCAAAAACAGACTGTTGTACAGCTAATAATTCCTTGTCAATATATGCATTAAATACACCAATAAGACTTATTAGAGATTCAGTTTGATCCATTGTGACTTCTGAAGCCAATACAGAACCCAGTACATTTTTTGCTGTGTTTTTCTGGCCAAGTCATTAATGCAAGAATGCTATTTACATGTACACATATATACTCAAATTTGTACAAATAAAAGTAACCAAATTGTCTTAAAAAAAACAGGGACATTACAAAAACTCTGATCACACCATAATGTAGTTACTCCCTTGTTTTTCACAACAGACTGAAACTCGTCATCAGTGAGCGTGAAATGCACATGTTAGTACACAACAGCATATTTTTCAAGCTTCTCTTCTCCAAGGAGGTTTTGACCTCCTTATCTCTCTATTATCTCAAAGTGCACACCTATGAACAGCTAGGTCAACTAGACATACATTTAATACATTGTTTTTTTTCTTATCATTTTTCTATAGGCAGTAGTACCGCAGTACACTTCAAGTATGTGATAACTCCACCTCAGCAGATGCAGCCATCTGCAACCTAAATCTTCCGAATGTAGCAAAAAGCGTCATATTTACATCAAACTGACTTGGTCTCATGAAGTACATTATGCTATTTCAAATTTCACAATGAAGAACTGACTAGCTTCCCTTAGTCAAATCTTATTTTGACTGCTTTATATTTACAAAGCTATTTATCCATGGTTATAGATCCTGATCACTAGAGGCTATTTAGTTGAACTGTGCCAAAGAAAGCTTTCCTGTATTGACAATGGGTTATTTTTCACAAACACATCTGTGCACAGAAATCATTTTGCACTGTACAAAATTGTCAGTACAAGACCAAAAAATCCTGTTAACACATCTAAATCAGTTGCTGTTCCTCACTTCATGTGGTAAAATTAATGGCCTAGGAAAATCAATGTTGTGTTTTCGATTTCAGGCCTGTAAAAAATAGGGTTGGTAGGTAGGGATTCTCTATGTAAACACAACATTTTTCCTAGGCCCTAGGTCAAACAAGTTCACATGTCCAAGTGGACTGGCTGTCCTCCGATCCTGATGTCATCATACAACATGGAGGCAATGTCGTCATCTCCTGCAGCAAGGTCCTGTGGTGTGTCCTCTTCCGTGTTTGATAGGTTGGGGTTGGCGCCAGCCTATGACATAATGGACAAAATATGGTATAAGATCAGGTGTCCAAATATGGTATAAAAACAGGTGCAACTAGTTATGGAACGAACAGTCAAGAGATAAAAACTGGGGGAAGTTTAGCAGGACATGCAGTGTTTGACAGACATATCATTGAAACCGTACAAAGGTTCATTTTTGGTAAACATTTGTTAACATTTGTCCCACACACCTGTATGAGGAGGGAGGTGATCTCCTGGTGCCCTCCGTCCCACTGCCAGGTGCAGCGGAGTGCAGCTGTTGTACATCTGAGCATCCACCTGTGCCCTGCAGCCGAACAGTAGCACCTTCGCCATCTGGATGTCATTCCTCTCTACCGCATGGTGCAGCGCGGTGCGGCCGCTCTTACCATCCTGTTAAAACAAAGGCAAATCTTAGTCTTCATCTTGATTGCATAAACAATAAAAACATTGTGCACAATTTGTATACTTCAAAAACAGAAGCTGAAATTTGTTTCAACATTTTGGGGAAGGGACATCAAAACGATTTTCAATCTCCCCTCATAGAAACTTAAAAAATCAGCTCTTGAATGGCAAAGTCCAGCAGAATGTAAGGGACTTTTGTATTGCCCAAACTGATATTTTAGGAAAGCACCCAGTGTGTGAGTGACAGAGGGGGAACTGGAGTGATGGATGGATAAACAACACTGTTAAAACATGTGGCCAGGACCAATGGACAGGGGAATACAAAAAGAGGAAGTCAGTTTAACCCCCTACCGATAAAGTGGGGATGTCCCAGGGAAATGACACCCAATCTTTAAAGCATGCCATATCTCCTATCTTCTGTGGGGATTCCCACAGTCTTGAAAGCTCAGCAGTTGTTGAGCAAACAAGGCAAAAGCAAGTCCAAACTGGCCTGGGCAAGTTCCACTTTCACAATAGGGGGCCCGGGGGAAGTCCCAGGGACTTCTTCAGTCCAGGGCAACCAGAAAAACATGTATAAACATCATTAAACTGTTTATATCAAATTGATGGAGTTAATCTTGATTACAAAGTCACTATTGTTGATATAAAACCCTTTAACTTCTGGGCAAAAAAGGCATGACTCATCAAAGTGCAAACAAGGGAGGGAAAAGGGTAACATTACTTACTTGTGAATTCACATCTGCACCAATCTGAGCGAGGTACTGGACAATGTCATAGTGTCCCTCAGAGGCAGCCAGGTGAAGACAAGTGAAACCTACAAAACATAGAGAAAGAAGTTTAAATTGAGAAGTCAGTCACTCTTTATTCCTTCATGAGTCAGCATTCCTTAGTCTACTAGTCAGCAAGATCAGGTGAGGAGGGGGGAATCCCGAGGTGAAGACCCTCATTACAAGGTGCATTGCACTACCTAATACAGTTTTCTTGAAGAGGAAGTACACATTCTCACATCTACCTTCAGGGCATACAACTAGCTTCAACATACCAACATTACTTCTTCACAAATGACTGCACAGGCAACTTAGAACAAGTACAGTTGTGAGATGAAACTACATAAGCATCAAAAGATAGGCTTTATTCTTTCAATTCTATACAGCAGTGTGTCCTTTTCTCAAAATTTCTGCACTCATTCCATGTGACTTAAAAAACTCACCTTCATAGTCCCTCTGCTCCAGGTCCTGCGGTATCCTCTGCAGCCGTGAGAGGTGCCTGTGTTTTCACCTCTGTGGAGCTGACTGGTGTGGTGAGTGCCTGTACCAGACTGCCATTGCCCCTGAGGCTGGCCAGGTGCAGGGGTGTGCGCCCATTCCTGTCAGGGGATGTCTAGCGAGGCTCCGTGCACCAGCAGTTGTCTGGCCACCTTAGACTGGTCTGTCACTGTAGCCAGGGCCAGTGGGGTCTGCTGGGAACAAGGCAAAGGTCAACTATGCTGCTGAAGAAAGTTGCAAAATTTTACCTAAAATCAATTCTACCAACTCTAGGTGAGTATGCCATGGCAGAAGAAACAGATTTCAATTTCTGGGCCCCCTTGCAGCATCTTTTCAAACTGCAGAAGCATGAAAATTATATGGAGAAAACTTAAATTAGTGAATCACCAAACTTACTGCAAGGATAGCAATAGACAAACTGGAGACTGGAGGGGAAAGCAAACCAGTACAAACTAAATGGTGGCATTGTTTGTCCACCAGGTCACGTGACTCAGAACAGGTTGCCTCACCTGCTGCAAGTGGTTTCTGATGTCCAGGTGGTCTGGGGAGGGCGCCAGTTCCAACATTCGGTCCACTACATCTGGTCTGCTGTGAATGACACCCATGTGAAGCGTTCTGAAACAACATTTGGAGGAATAACATTAAACAGTTGCAAACAACAACTGATCACGCAGGCAGCACGTGATTCTTTTGAAGTGCGTAGGAAGAATTCTGGACTGTTGGGGTGAATAACCTGGGAAAGTCCCTGAGTAACGCTTTACCCCCTAGAGCGGACGGAAAGTGCGCACCAAGATATTGAAAATTGTCTTTTGCCTCAATGTTCTTAACGTTGTCTCAAAACACAATAGATTTTATTTGTTAAGGAGTAAACGTAATGACGTCAATCAATATTTTTTGCCTAGAGCAGTTCACTGAGTAAGAAAAAATTGTGACGTGTGTAAAATTCTCTACTTACGTGTCGCCGTCTTGGTCTTGGCAGAAGGCTTCTCTTGCCAAGTTCTCCCGTAGTTCCTCGCTGGGATCCTCGTCTGGTTCGATACAGTCATCTTCTGTCTCGTCCTGGCAGGATTTGCAGGTTTCTTCCTCCCTTTGTGTCGGCAACCTTTCCACCAGTTCCCCTGCTCTTCCCACCGGGGCGGGCTGTGAACTTTGGTCTTCCGACGAGTGGAGCGAGCACTGCTGAAAGTCCTGTGAGAGACAAGTATCACCGACAGAATCATAAGCTGAATCAAATCTGTCCGAATCCACGGTCGCGTTCCACAGCTTTCTGGCCTCTGGTCTGATTTCGTCCAGTGGGCCTGGTGCGCTGTCGGTCTCCACCTCCCAATCCAGCGTAGCCATGTTGGACTAAAATTTCAAACGAAAATGGCAGACGGACGGTCAACAACTGCTGCTGATTTTCTCGTACAAACGTCCCAAACTCGGCTCGAATGTTACACAATCGCCTTCAGAACGACTCTAGGTTGTCTAAAGAGGTGGTGAATACAAGATTAGATGAGACTATGACTCCTCTTGTGACAAAACTAACGCGCACAACTGCCACGCAGTGAATTTTATGTGACCAGACTGGGAAATTTTTGGTGGGGGATTCCCCTTTCGTGTGTCTGACCAATAAAAATGGGGGATTTACATCACATGATTTTTCTAACCAATGATGGGGTAGCTTTTCTGCATACATAATAGGGGGAATCCCCTTGTAGGTGGAGTCGTGACTCATTTCTGTCCCCACCTGCTGACGCATTTGTCTTGTGGAAAACAAATCAAGCGCGAAAACGATTACGTGGAAACGCAAGTCCTGACGGATGCAGGGTGAGACACCTGGAAAGTCCCGCGTACTGCATGCAAGTCATTACATGGCAGTCGCAATATTAGAATTCGGAGAAGGGACCTCCACTGTTACGACACAAGAAGTAGGTATCTTGTCTATGCAAGGAGGTTAAATACAAGAATAATCATCTTCGTAAAAACAAAAAATAACTATATTTTTCATTAACGTTACAATAAACTATTAGGTAATAGATAGAGCACGGTTTGAGGCTGACTATGAGGATTTAGAACTGTCCCGCCCACCAAGGGGATTTCATGTCTCCCGAGGCCAGAGGCCAAGGGTGACATGAAATCCCCGAGGTTGGGCGGGCAGTTCTGAATCCGAGTATTCAGCCTCAAACCGTGCTCTATCTAACTTAGAGCACTTCTAGGTCCCCGAAGTTGATCAACTCCATCCACTAGAACTTGATTTTGCTTTATAAATCCGAAAGTTTGTTTAGTGTCACTTTTTGTCTTGTTTCGAGGAGTTGTTTGGTTGTCCATCTGGGCTGATTAACGACCGCTAGGTCGTTAGGTCGTTAATCAGCCCAGATGGACAGCCAAACAACTCCAAGAAGAGTCAAACGATGTGTGGTGATGAGCCGGTCAGTCTCCTCTGATTCCCCAGGGCAGAAAGCTGGACACTGCCATTGGCCAGTTGTTGTTTCCATGGAAATAACAATGGGCGGGTCCAACATAGTGTAATTTATTCGGTTAGTTAGAGCACCTCTGTCCCTAGAGAGGGACCAATTCCAGCTTACTGGTTGGCTGAGAAGAGGGTGGCTGGTTAGTTAGTGCACCTCTACCCCAAGGGAGAGAGGTGCACTAACTCACAAGTATGCTACTATGTGGATATAATCACTAAAAATCCAGGATCCCTATTGGCTGAGGAGACCTAGCAGTGCTCTAACCTTGATTAATCCATGCATCATATGAGAAAGTGGAATATCCGTCTTCCGTTCCTTTTCATTTTGGTTTGCTGGGAAGGAATATAAAAACCTCAAAAAGGGGTCTCGTGAGTTTTAGTATTTCGTGCCTTGGGCGAGTGCTATCTACTAATGTTATGTGCGATAGGAGAGCATTGCGATCAGAAAACTTGGGCTATTAGAAAATACTAGTACAATATGTACTAGAAAAAGCGCCCCCTTCACTTCCCCCCCAAAAACGACTACACGCGTTATGACCAGGCGCGCAGCTGCTTATCAAGTTCTTCAGTTTCACGAGCTTTCACCACGTTTGAATCGCACAAACTAGACCAACTGAGTACATCAATTATCGTTCAATTGCATAACAGCCTAGCCTTTTATAATAGCCCCTGGCCTTACTAGTTGGGCAGTCCTGGCTGTATATTTGTTTAACCGTAGTACAATAAATGAAATCAAATCAAACCGCTCGGGTTCTCATAATAAAGGTTCAGGTTCCGCTTGACCTGCACGTAGAAAAGACAGAATTACCCCGTATCCCTTTATGGTGCTGATATCGAATATGATAAACCTTCCACATGACTGCTAATTAGTTTGTGAGTTGTGTCAATGTGATGATAATAGAGTTTGCATGCACAAATCTGTTATGATAAATGTAATGTCGTGTGTCAACAATAACCACATAACAGGTAAGATACTTCGAGACGGAAAAAAGTGTTTCTAACCTCTCGGGTACCGGTCATGGTCCGAAGATGTGCACTCTTGATCATGTCAAGAATTAAGATGAAAGATGCTGCTTCAGATCGCCGACTTCTGTACAATAAGATGCAAACTTGAACAAGACAATCATTTCATCTACGTCGTAAAATGTTTCAAGGTTCGATACGCTTACTAAAGGTCCAAGGTACGGAATGTATTGTCAATTACAAGCTACGCCTATATACACGCACCCTATGCAGCAGTGGAGGCCGTGGAGCTGTGGCACTGCGTGTTTATACAAGTTATACTAGTACAAAATGTAGTAAGAGGATTCCCCATCATCGGTGGAAGCTGCCAGACAGGGGGGAAAGAGTCATAATGTGCCGCATTGCGGCAATGCGCTTAATCTACAGAAAACTGTACCATGATCAAATAAAGGGAAACTTTTAGTTTATATGAAATGATATGATATGATATGATATGTTTTTTATTGTTTATATGGTCGATGTGCAATAAAAAAAAAACAATGCGAGGGGAATGCTCGGAAAATATTTTTGCGCGTTACGCCCTATAACAACCACAATCTATCGCAATTTGTTTCACACTTCATGTTTGTAGAGGTCATCATAGAAAGGGTTTTTATCTGAGTGACTGCGCTCAAATAAGTGGTAGAGTGCAGTCGATTAACCATCGTCATTGGCCAAGGTAACGGTAGCTGAAGACTGGGATACCGGCTATTATACCTAGTCGTAGTTCGACGACTTTTGAAAACCAGACTTGTACTTTTTATTTCATACTTTATACTTTTACTTGTACTTTGTACTTTTGTACGTTGAATTTGGAAGGACATTAGTAGAAGAGAAATTTCAAATTTTATCACGGACGCTAGAGAGTTTTGGGCAATCTGTACTGATTTGACGAAAAACAATTTACCGTATAACAAATACGTGTAAGTTGCTCGAGAGAAAAAATTATTGTGCAAAGTCACATCTATACATGTAGTGTAACCTTGATCAATCCATACGCAATAAATATATTCAAATTCTTCCAAATGAGATGATGGCAAAAGAGTGAAAAATACCCTTCATGGATAGAGCAAGAGGTAACGTTATTAGCAAAAATGCTCCGATGTAACTTTTCCGGGCCCGAAACTGTTCGGTAAACTTTCGGCGGACCGTTTCGGTAGGCGCGGTTGACACTTTTGAACCCTAGCCCCAGTTTCAGGTGAGCTGTTTGTATTTCACCTGTGCAACTGTACAAACAACAAACACAGCCGCGTTACCACCACAGGTCACAGGTCACCAGACATGCGTGCTGGTCGGTCGGTATGGAGACTTGGAGCCGCGCGACTCTTCATCTCACCTGCTTGAACCTGGCGTAAAATTCACCTGCCGCATAACACAGGCCATTTCATTTACCTGTCAAGTTATCTTGTGATACAGAGGGGCCTCCAAAAGGTGACATTTGAACTAAGACTTGAGAGAGCGAGCCTGTCTCGCGCTTCTACAGGTGTCAGGATGCCCGGCAACATGCTACTCGGCTCCATCCAGATCTCAGGTGAACACCTGTCCACGGTGGAGGTCCGAGACATCTGCGACTCCTTAAAGAATAACTCCACCCGCCTGCTCAGTCTTAGAGGGTGTAAGATCGACGACGAAGACTTCGGGCCGCTGGCCACGGCGATTGGGGAGAGCAAATCCATCGTGCAGCTGAACTTGAACCTGGGCGTAGTCTCGGATATCAGTCGAGCGAGACTTCTGGGAGAGGCGCTGACAAGGAATAGATCGCTAAATTCATTGTTGTAAGTCACGTTAGGTAATCATTTCTGGAACACACGTCTAATGCAGATGGTATTTGATGGGCTAAATGAGGTCTTAAGTGTTATTGTTATTGTATTAAATGTCGCATTAGAGTGACCAAGGACATTGTGTGTAGGAGTGACAAGCTCCGTATGCTCAGATCGCGTGCAGCGTGTCTTATTACATCGCGTTGTCGTTTTACTGGCGTCTGGGAGACATTAACCGTTACTTCTATCGTGCCCTGTCTTTTTCTAAGTGATGTTTGATACCTGACTCTTGCCTTCAGTGGCCCTTTGGTTTTGTGGAGCCATGGCAACTGCCTTGACTATCGAACAATGCCTTAAGGAAGTCATTTCATTATCTGCTAATCTGTAACGGAAGGATGATTAACGTTAGGGAAACTGCTGTTGTAAAACGTTTAAGGTTAGGTGAAAGACTAAGGACTGCTCCATCATTTAATCTGAATGCCACCCATACTTACCTACATTTGCAAAGTTGAAAATAAGGCCAATGTGTGTTTGTTGTATGTTTATGAAAAAGAGTAAAAAGTATGATGCATGGACCCAGCTTATCGCATCTAGTATCAATCGTCAACTTTTTAGCATATTAACAAGATCCTGCTTCCTCATGTAGCCTCCATGGCAGCCCCCTGGGTGATGATGGCCTGACTGTGCTGATCCCATCACTGTCCACCCACCCCTTCCTGACCTCATTGGACCTGGGGGACTGTCGGCTGGGGGATGGCTCCATCAAACTCATCAGCACATTGTTACCTCCTGATGGAGCCAGACAAGGTGAGAATGTCTGTTGGAAAAACTGTTTATCCAAGGAGCTATAAATCACATGTCCATATTTTTATGTTAATTGAACCTCGTGACCTTGAGTAGAACATCAAAAGGTTGCTTATTTTACACACACTTAATATGATGATAACATTTCCCTGTCCAGGAATCCATGACCTAACCCTGAGTGCCAACCCAGCCATTACTGCACGAGGTTGGGCCCAACTGTCAGTGGCGCTGTCTAGCAGCTCAACCATCAGAACTCTGTGTCTGGACTATAACTCCATTGGAGACTATGGAGCTGGGATGCTGGCCGTGGTTGTGGCAGGCAGCAGGACACTAGAGGTGCTCGACTTGGAGGGGACTGGGATGACTGAATTTGGGGGACAGGTAGAGATATACCTTTGATTATTTGGATGAGTTTGATGTTTATAATTATTTTGGCTTGTCAATTCTTATATCCTAGCGTCAAGTTGCTGAAAGAAACAGATTACTAGTAGTTGAACATTTTTCACAAAACTCAGTATTAAACCATTAGGGTTTATTGATACTAAAAATTCAATTACACTTTGTGACTGCCTTTTTTTCTCATTTAATCTTACAAGCAAGTTTGGGAAAGGGTTGTTCATCAAACAATGAAGGTGTTGATGACAATTCAAATCACAGAGAGATATTGTAATTAAGTAAAAAATCAATATTAAGACATTACACCACCTCCAGGTGTTCCTGGACCTGGTGCAGAACTACCCTGTGACCCTGAAGCAGCTGGTTCTGTGTGAGAACGGTGTGAGTGAGGAGACACAGCAGCAGGTCAACAGCTGCCTGTCTGTCAACACAGAGGACACAGCTCAAGAGGAGGCTGGTAAGGACTCCACCTCCCAAGTGTCATGTAACTTGGTCTTGGCATTTGTGATAGAAGCTCCATGTTATAAGGGAAATTTCCTGCTCATTTGCACAACTACACCATGGCCTGTGTTCCTACAGGAGGTTGGTAATGGACATACCGGTAGTTTTCAGTTTGCACCTTTGTTCTGTTTCAGCCCCAGCAGAACCTGGCCCATCCACCAGTGGAATCCCCCGCAGGTCACATGACAGGGACACGGCAGCAGCTGCTGTGGAGGCTTAAAGCGGATTCAAGCAATATAACTTTCAGCCAGCAATCTAATAGTGCCATGTGGCACCAGATTTGTACTACATGTAGTTTCCTACTATATACATGTATGATATATGTGGCATGATAGAAGACTAGAGGAAAAGTGCCATCCATTTTTTTTTACTGCCGAGTAGAAATGGATGGTTTGAAACGACCTCTACTCTAGACTGAAGGAAGACTATGAAGTGTCCATATTCCTTGTATGATAGAGTGATGTTATTGCTTTTTGAGTGTTAGTAGTACAATATAGCCCCTCAACTGGAGCTATAGAATGTTTCTGCATCAGTGGCATTGATGTACAATGTAGATAGTTGTTTTATACAATTTATTTTCATATAATTTAATTTTGATGGCAGAATAGTCATATAAGATGTAAAAAATCATAAGACAAGTCTTTAATCAGTTGTAAATGATTTTTGACAAGAAAAACATATTTAGTCAACCCTTGCCTGGGGTTAATGTATGCAGGATGCTATGTTGACTGTATACTGCTGACTTCATCTTTTACAAGATGTTTACTTCATTGATAAATTGATATGATGCTTGAGTGTACAAATTTTACTTTGTGTACTTAATGATGTCTAGAAAATAGAAACAGTACAGAATGTTTTCAAGACTTAGTTTCTTTATTTGTTCTTGCCTATATTCGGGAAGCATGTATGTAATGCTGCTATGGCCTGGTGTCATGCAGACATATTACAGGTGTATAGGGATAACCACATTCTCATAATTTACATACCGGTATACGTGTAACATTAACTGTTACATACAACAGAGAAATTTCTATGAAATCCTCTATCCATACGTTCAACTTACTTTCCAAGCAGATACAGTACATACATGGCAAATAAAAGATTTTTTTGTCAAACAATACATCATTAAAATTATATCATAGCCAGTCATCTGCTACCTTACAAATGAAAAGGGCACCATCCTACAGTTCTAATTTCCGATTAGAATCGACTATTATTGCAATGCAAAGAAGCCGTGAAACTTGAGGCTGGATGGTGATAAACTGAATTTTTCATATCTTGAAGTTGTAACACATGCTGAGGTATTTCTCTCCAATTAAAATACATAGTAAGGATTTTAATTTTACTGAATCCAAAAGTATGTATTCTTTTTCAATACAGATACTAAGTGACTGAATTTGACTAATACCAATACAGCAAGACCGATAAAATTGCTTCTTCATATCAATATTTGTTTGGTTTGTATCACACATAGCTTTTTGTTACACCTGATACTTTGAAGTGCACCATTAAGGATACATGTGCATGTATAAACTACTAGTACATATGGTGAAATAATGGACTCTGTAGAGACTCTTCCATACTGTTATTAGTGTAGTCATCTACAACACTTAAGTAACAACATACACAACTGTTTTCATTTACAGGAAGACATTTGACTTTTGGAGAATAATTTTTTGTGCAGATTTCCCAAGTGTCATATCCTTATACTAAAGGATAATTTTAAACATTATTCCATGCTCAATAATTATACTTCAACTTCCTTGGTGTCATGAACTCCTTGACGGTTTCGTCAGTGACCTGTTTTCTCCTCTCTATGTGGTCAGACACGACCTTCTGCAGGATTCCGATCAATTCTTTCTTCAGCTCTCCAGTCAGCATGTTGCCACTGGAGTAAGCCTAGAACAAGGAATTACATTTGAGTGTCATTGATTTTAAGATAGGAAATTCCCTCTGGCCCTTGTATTTAGGGACAGGGTTCACAATCTGCAAACCTGTTGTCACTTAAAAATTCACAAGAAATGTAAACTTTCTGGAAAATATCTGAAGTCAAATATCTTCATAGGTATATAGGAAATTGTAGACATATCGATGCCACCAAGTAAAAGGAAGCTTGCCCTTGTATACATTATAAATTTTCATTCAGTAACAAGTTAACATGTTGGGTTTGGTGTCCTTGTAATTCAGATTTTTCCAGTATAAAGTGACCAGTGTCAGGAATATTCAGTTTTACAGTAATGTAGGTCAGACATAACTGAACTAAGCAGATCTCACCTCTCTTATCTGCTGCAGTTTGTCGTCATCCTCCATGAAGAAGGTTAAATACATGTAGGACACATCCACGTCCACATTCCCTCCCAGTCTGCGGTGCTCCTCCACTGTCGCCTGCCCTCCAGAGAACGCATACTTATTGATCTGTGGAAGAGATTTGTACAAGGGGTTTGCACTCATGTGACTATGATGGCAGTATTGTCTATCATGCTGGATGGTTAACCTGGAGGTTGCCAGGTAAACTTGTTCATGTAACGTTACTCGTATACCAATATGCAATAACAAGGTGAAGTCGCATTATACACATGCATATTCATAAGTCTGACTCTCTCAGGTTCAGCTAACCAGCATGGCAGATAATACTTATGTTGCAAATAGCCTATAGAGTCTAGATATTATGGTGATTTCATTGACTATGTAGAACAACAAGTGCAAAGTTTTGATTTTAAAAACTCCAAGAGGAGGATTTCAGTGAACAAAGCTTTTTCTCTCTGCAGGAGCCACACAGCTTACACATACAAATAGAGTTGATGTGATTCCACACCTTCTTCTTGATCTGTGCATTGGTATCTGTAAGGTAGATGGATGAGACAGCATCGCTGGCACTCATCTTGGTCATGGCCCCCTGCAAAGCAGGCAGGAACGTGGTGTGGAGCAGGGCAGGCTTGGGGAAGCCCAGGCGGGGTGCCACATCACGGGTCATTCTGAAGTATGGGTCCTGAGGAACAATAAAAAAGTTTCACAAGGCTGTATCGCAATTTTCCTAAACATATTCACTGTACTGTTCTTTGATATCATTGCAAAACTTAGTTGCTGGCTAATATCAAGTGCTGGCCTCCATCCACTGCTTCAACCACTACTACTTACTTGCTACAGCACCTGGCAATCACAGCAGCACAAATCTGGACAGTTCATTTCCCCAGGACTCACCTGGTCAATGGCACAGGGAATGAGACACTGGATATCTTTTCTACCCCCAAAGATTTGTGGGAAGGATGAGCTGAAGGACGGGGCTGCCTGGATGGATGGGAAACTGATCTTTCCTGGAAACAAAGGAAACACACAAAATGTACAGAATATGTGACAACTGTTGGGAGTAACAAAAATCATGATTTATGAAAGCACAGGCCAAAATTGTGACAATTTTTTTCTTGATACATTGTAGATACAATGTATCATGAAAGACTGCTTACCTATACATGTGCTGTCCCCAAAGCCAAAGATTCCCTTGACTTGGTTAAAGGTGACACATTTCTGAACCTTCAGCATAGTACGGTAGAAATCTGGTGAAGACCTAAACAAGATAGAATTATCAATATAACATACCAAAAGATCTCCTTGGAGATTACCACAAATGTTCCTTTTTAGATCAACTTGACTGCTATTTACAAAACATGAGGTAGTTCAAATGGAAAGACCTGAAATATTTTAGTTTTTTTAGTTGTTTAGTGTAAAAATTAAGTGTGTCAGAAAGGTCTTTGTGTTTGGTTAATAAATATTCTGTCCTGCTGACTATTTGCATAAGACAGATAGAGGTACAAATTTCTCAGAAGTCAACATCTAACCCATTTTAGTGAAGCTGTATATGAGTGAAATCTAACCCGATGTAGTCCATGTCTGAGAAAATGAAGGTCTTGTCAACATCGAAGCCCAGGGCGATGATATCCTTAGCATTCTCATTGGCCAGTCTCCTGGCCTCCTCTGCAGACAGGTCCTTCCACAGAAACTTCTCATCATCAGTCAGCTGGATCACCAGGGGAACATCAAAAATGTCCTGTAACCACCTGGAAGTAACACACAAATGCAAGATGGTGCGGCTGTGTCACACATAAAAAAATACATCTTCAGTAACTGCCATTAGCCATTATATGTAACATTTAAGGCAAGAGTCACAGGACACAAACCTACAGTAAAATAAGAATTCTTCGTACTTGGTAATCATGAAGGGAATAAGATGTCCCACGTGCATTGCCTCTGATGATGGTCCTCTGCCTGTGTACAGGAAAAATGGCTTCCCTTTTTCATAGGCATCTAGGATCAGGTTGACATCCCTGCATGAGCAAGAAAATTAATATACATGTATTCTAATTAAACGAAATGTAAAAAAACTAATTGATCTTGATTGAAATGAGTGGCATGGATGTAAAATAACGACATGTTATCAGTATGTCATGTCCATGAGTGAACAGTATTGTAACATAATTGTTCCTCACTATGCACAACTGCAGGAAGGATGTTAGACGAGTTGGACCATTGTCAACTCAGACCAAGGAGGTTGAATGCTCATCAGGCCAGGGTGGATCGACACCTGGGTCCTAAGTCATAACAATGGTCAATGGTGTTGGTGCAAGGTTACTGGTCTGAGTTGAAAATGGTCTGACGCTTCATGATCACATGTAGGAAATGTAAATCAGTCCACAGTTGGTTGCTAGCCATAACTGATGTTCATACTATCAATCATAGTGTCACAATATCACAAAGATGTGACGTTAAACAGTTTCAGAAAGCTGTGCTCACCTGTGTGAAAAGATCATGCCTCTAGTCAGCAGATGATGGGCTGGCTTTCCTGTCACTCTCACAATCCTGTCAATCAGGTCTTGCTCAATCTTTGTGCTCCCAAACTGGGCTACAGGCAGAGATATGTGAGAATACAAAAACTATATTGAGGAGGAGCCTCTTCTTTTTCTTTTATATATTTTGTACAAAGAAAATTTCAATTTTCAATTTTTTGGTTGTGAAGAAATCATACTAATATCTAAAATGTCAGGTCTCCTGCTTCAAATTGACAAAATCCTCCTGACTGCAACAACAAGCCTAACACACACAGAGAGAGAGAGAGAGAGAGAGAGAGAGAGAAAGAGAGAGAGAGAGGGAGAGAAACTTACCGATTAGCTTGTCATAGTTGACACCTTTTTGGCTTCCTGACGTGACTTCCCATGGCGTGATCAGCTGGTCCTCAGCCTCCTCCTCTGGTGGGATCTGTCCATCCTGAAGCTTCAGGTTCTCCACACCCGGAACTGCTTCCTCTGCCATATTGAGTGATGAAATTTCACAACGTGCTCCCCTCTTGCAAGGTGGACGCTTCAACACCGGGTTTCTTCACGTGCTAGTGGGAGATCATGAGAAAAAACAATGGAAATGAGACGGCTTACAATGAAACACAACCGAAAAGCTCGAAACATAAGGCAAGAAGACTTCCACACACCGTAATATCCAGAATAGCACTCATGGGCACTGCTTCTTACAAGCCTCATGCAATAAGTGCCGGTGGAAGAAACTATGTTAAATTTTTAGGTGAATATGTATTACATATCTGGTTTGAGTTTGATAAATGGCCGTATGATAGAACACATTGTCCTTTACAACATAATTTTTTTAAATAGTCTTCATAAATGCATTTGTTTTTGGCCTTTTAGTTTTATGTTGGTGAAATCTTTTGTAGAAATAATTCTATACTATCCCTAAATTGGAGAATAGTTTCTTCCATTTTGATCTTGTAGTAAATCGTAAGCCCACCCACAATGCACCGTGTGCAGTATCATGGCGGCGTCCGTGATGGACAGGCGATTTTGACGACTTGTGTTCGGGATTTTTCCGCACCAATTCTGGACACATCCAGTGAAAACAACTGTCTAGAAGACCTCTGATTTCTGGGGAATACGTCTGGTCGTGAGTTTGTTGCGATGAACGCGCTTGTACAGTACGAGAGCTCCAGTTCAGACGAGGAGGAGGGGCGGCCACCTTCCGCGGCAAGACAAGCCAAATCTGCAAAGCGAGCTTCTTCCAAGTCTGGCGGGAAGAAGGCCAAAGTGGCCGCAGCAGAGGTCACCCAGAGTACCAATGTCCAGGCTCAGAATCCGACAGGATATTCAAATGACTGGCAGGCGATGGGTTACGCCCAGCAAGGCTATGGGCAGACTTGGCCGCAAGGGTACGACTATAGTCAGTACGCACAGGCCTACGGACAATGGGGAGATTATCAACAGTGGGCGAACTACTATGCCGGGTACGGACAGCAGCAACAGTACGGTACACAGGCATCCATGCAGCCACCTCCTGTTCCACCACTCACAAGTTCAGTCGGACAATCTACCACTAATGTTACTGCATCATCAACCTCAGATGTAACTCCCCAGCCCCCTCCTCCCTCAGGACCCCCCTCAGAGAAACCCCCTCTCCCAACAGGTGCACCACCAGCCCAGCTGACCTCACCCTCTACCACCGGCCAACAACCAGAGGAAAAGACATCAGTGTCTGAATCGCAAACCACCTCTGCAACGTCGTCTAGCGTAGATTCTCAGGTTAGTGCAGCTGGGCAGGGGCATGCTGGCTCGCAGGACACCAGCTCTGGCCAGGCAAACATGGACCCCAACATGATGTGGAACAACATGTGGAACTACCAGCAGTATGATCCACAGGCATGGAGCCAGTATTATGCAGGGCAGGGGTATCAGGACCCTAACATGGCAATGGGTCAGTGGGGCCAATGGGGTCAACAATGGCAGAACTGGCAGCAGCAGCAACAACAACAGCAAGGTACTGCTGAACAGACTGGACAACAAAAACAACAACAAACCCAGCAGCAAGGCAGCTATCAGACTCCTTCGCCAGCTGTAACAAGCGACACAGGACAGAAGCCACCTCCTCAGGGGCCACCACCACAAGGGCCACCACCACATGGCCCTCCACCCGGACTGAATGGTCAGGATCAGTGGCAAAGGCCAGATTGGCAGCAGTCTTGGCACCCTGGCCAACGGCCACCTGGCCCCATGGACCAGGGCCCAAGGATGAGGATGAGGCACATGGGCCCAATGGATCATGGGCAACGCCCACGTCACCGTGGCCCCATGGATGGCCCGAGACACCGTCATCCCCCTCCAATGGGCCAGGGACCCCGGATGAGGCATCCTGGGCCAATGGATCATGGGCCACGTGGTCCACGAGGGCCAATGGACCCAGGGCAAAGGCCAAGACATCATGGACCCATGGACCAGAGACCACGGCATCCCGGTGGAATGGATCAAAGACCGCGGCACAGGCATCCTGGTCCTATGGATTTTGGACAGCGTCCGCGGCATCCCGGAGGTATGGACCAGCGACCCCGCCACCCCCCACCGATGGATAAAGGACAGCAGCCACGGTTTCCAGGTTCAGCAGATCAAGGACCTCGGCTCATGGAGCAGGGGCAACGGCCACGGAACCCTGGAGCAGGGGATCAGGGACCAAGATCGAGGTTCCCTGGACCAATGGATTCAAGCCAGAGGCCACGACACCCTGGCCCACAGGGGCCAAGGGGAAGAGCTCCAATTATAGAGGAAGGAAAAGACAGCAGGTGGAGTGGACAGCCTTGGCAGAGAGATAACCGTGGGCCCAAAGATCAGGATGATCAGGAGGAAGATCCGGAGTCGGAACAGCCTCAAAAGAAGGAAGAGCCAGTTGCTGAGGAGAAACCAAAACCTGCTCTTAGCTTGGCAGAAAGGCTCAAGATGATTGCTGAGTCCAAGGCTCCACAAACTGCTTCATCTAGTCATCTAGCTTCACGGCCCACGCCATCAGAGAAAGACAAAAAGAAAGGCTCAGATGAAAAGGGAAATGCAAACTACGTTCCTTTAGGATTCAACAAACTGCAGCAGTTGTCACGAGGAAATCAGGACAGTGATGATGGCAGAGAAGGAAGAGGGCCCAGAGGTGAACGAGGAGGTCGGGGGGACAGGGGTGGACGGGGTGGCAGGGGAGGGAGGGACGACCGAGGGGGAAGGAGGAGCAGGTTTGGACAAGACGATGACTCAAGGGGGTCATCATGGGGCCGAGACAGAAACCAACCACCCTACAGGTCTGGCAGGGACGGTAGGCCGGAAAGGGAGGGAAGAGATCGAGACAGCAGATCAGACAGAGATGGCCGCCCCAGCAGGTTCAGTCATGACTCCAGAGATAGACAGGGTGACAGTCAGCAAGAGAGAAGAGGGAGTAGGTTCTCTGGTGGCCCATCTTCACATGGGGATCAGGGCAAACCTAGTGGAGACTTGGATGGAAGGAAAAGTCGCTGGGAGACCCCCCGTAGCACAGGCACAAGTGATTCTCAGAACCAACCCAAGTCCAGAACAAAGTGGGGATCAGAAACCACAGATGGCCAGGAGGGCACTTCAAAAACACTGCTCCCGGATCCTGCAGCTCCTCCAGGAGGAGGAGGCAGTCACCAGGGTAACCCTCCATCTCTGTTTGACATCCAAGTTCAACCTTCATCCCATCTACGACAAGCTCAGGGCCAAGGTGGCCAGCAGCAGTGGGAACAGAGAGGGGAGCAGGAGTCCATTCATTCTGGCCCAAGAGGATCCCCATCTGCAGGGCCCAGGGGACCGTCTCCTACAGGGCCAAGAGGACCTACCCCTCCTGGACCAAGGGGATCCCCTTCCCCTGGACCAAGAGGTCCACCACCACCACCTCAGTTTCAGGGACACAACCAAGGAGGGGGGAACTGGTCGCAGCAGAACTTTGGATCCCCTGAGGGACAGGGCAGTGGGATGAAGAGAATGTCCTCCAATGACTCCCAATTCTCTCCACCAGATGGTGGACCTGGTATTCGTCCCTACACACCCAAACGTGCCAGGCTAGAGCCGGACGGGTCGCCTACTAACCCCAGCCCCACAGGCATGGTGCTACAAGACACAACCATGGCCGCAGTACAGGATATATTTGAACCATACCCCAAAATTGTGTTTGCCCTGGGGAAGGCTGTGCACAGCAGGATTCCTGAGAAAAGACTTGTTGATCTGCAGGGCCACACAGGCCCGGTGAACACTGTGGAGTGGTGCAAGGCCGACTGTAGCCATCTTCTCCTGTCTTCCTCCATGGACAGGTAAGGGTGACAATGCAGTTTGGAGGCTAAAAATCAGACTATGGAGTCAGTAGTGCTTGTTGAAGAATGGCATAATCATACCCATAAACTATATATATGAGGATGTTAGCATCATAAGCCATACCAGTACTTTATCTTGTGACATCAAATGACTTGTCAAATGACTAAAGAGACATATCCTACTCCAAAGCATTGTCCAAATCAATTCAACAAAAAGACCCTTACCATATTTCATGATAATGAGTTCCAATCTAGATCATCATTTTTTAATGACCGACTATGACGTCTATTTTTCCTCGCCATGTGTAGGACTGTCAGAGTCTGGGATGCCATTGGAGATGCCAAGTGTGTTCGAACTCTGACCAATCACAGGGCAGGAGTGAAGATGGCTGCGTGGACTACAGACAAGAAAGTGCTGAGCTGCAGCTTTGACAAAACAGCTCAGCTTATTGATCCACAGACAGGTGAGAAAAATGCTAAGGTAGCTTTTTTGGCACCAAATTTGTTCCAAATATGTCTTATCACCAAAGGTACACAGGCTACAGTGTACCTTAACCCTAACCACACACACACACACACTGGAACAGTGTTGGGTAGCATGGAGGAGTTAGAAGCCCAACATTTCAACTTGTGACTTAGTGGTTAGTGGTCATGTATTTGAAGATTCACACTTACTTGATAAAATATCCCTTTTTCTATGTTGTTTTGTTTACCGGTATTTGGTTTAGTTGGACATGGAGGTAGACGTTGTGATGAGAATTAAAAATAAACCATGTATCATCAAATGTCTATTGGAAAATGATCTATCTACAAGATATCACCGATCACATTGCATTTATCTGGCCTAACAAGACAAAGAAGATACACATGGATTTCATTGATCTGTATCACATTCACATGCCCCATTATCTAACAGTATGTATTGTTTTCCAGGTCAGACTGTGTCAACATTCCCCCATTCCAATTTTGTGACAGTTGTACGAGTCCATCCCCAGGAACACAACCTGTTCCTAACTGGGTCCACAGACATCATACAGGCCTGGGACAGCAGGACGGGCAAGGTAAGATCATGGCTTCATCCCAGGGAAGGTGTGGCTTGTCTGTCTGTGTATTTTTTGTTTTCCAATGTACGCATTGGGGTATTGCCATACATCTGTAATGCTGCTGCTAGTATTTTTGTGTTTGGGTCAGGAAGGGTTGCCAAGTAGTGTGGGTAAGGATGTGATGTCTACCATCTCTGTTTGCCTTATTTGATCTCGGCATTTTCTGTGTGATTGTTACAGTTTCAAAACTACCTGTAGTACAGTACATTTGCTTACACATTCAAATGTTTGATCTTGTCAGGCTGTTCGAGATTTTAAATGCAAGTTTGGTTCTGTTCTGGACTTGGCGTTCTTTCCGAGCGGGAGCTCGTTCCTCAGCAGTGCCGATGTTGTGGCAAGAGACTCGGCTGACAAGACGATCATGGTGTGGGACTTCAACTCCGGAGCCAAGCTGTCCAACCAGATATTTCATGTAAGACAATTCCTACTGTCTTAATAATATGGCATTATAGGGATGTAAGGCTTTTTATGAGCATTTACCGGTAACCATCTATTAGATACAGGTGAAGTATATCAAATGTATAGAAGATAACTCAAAAGTCACTTTCAACACTCTGTAAATGTTTGACAAATCGGCCATATTGGCATCGGCCATATTCGATATCACTGATGAAACATTCCATTCAGTAAACTCATTTGACACGCTGAGTTCGGACTCAAGTTTACCAGACGAAATCCCAACGGCTACATCCACTCCACTTAAATCAAAGCAGGGTAATTTTCAAACGAGGGGTCATAGTCACAAGAGATCTAAAAGTAAACTTCTGCTAGTAAACTGTCAGAGTGTGCGGAACAAAACAGCTGAACTGGCGACAGTAGTTGACACTTACAAGCCAGATATAGTAGCAGGTACAGAGTCATGGCTCACCCAAAACATAGC